TGTGTGTGTGTGTGTGTGTGTGTGTGTGTGTACGTGAGAAAAAGAAGAAGAAAAAAAAACTAACCTTTTGATGTGTTTGCTAGTGAAACTTACAGTATGTCTAAGCTGCATAGGCTGTCAGTCTGAATACGCCCTCTTGTGGTTTGTATTGTGCACTACAATTCAGAATTTCAAGCTTTCTGGTGAGCCATTATTGAATCATTTGTGTCCACAGAAACAACTCAAACAATTTTCAAACTGTACGATTCTTGTGTCATTGCATGTCTTTTGATTTGTGACGATTGACTCAAACTTTTAATTATTGGTCTTCWAAGCGATATTTGGATTCTGTTTTAAATAAAGATGAACCATGAAGTGAAAATATCTTTATTTAAGTTTTACATGTGCATGTTTTCAGCATTTATTTAGTTTTGCTTGTTTCTCACTTGACTTCCTGTGTGGACATGATTGTTGTAGCCTAGGAGCTTTAGGGTTCTGTGCAGCATCTTAGCTGCTTATCTGGACAGAGATCTCTGAAGCTGTTCCTGCGATCGTTTAGACTTTAGAGTCACCTTTCCATGTGTTGGGTGGGTGGGGGTGTCACAGCACCAAGTAAAGACCAAGCAACAGAGCAGTGACTCTTCACTGCTTCTTTATTTCCTCTTTCAGTCCTTCATGTTTCATCTTCTTCTTGATTGTAGTCACTTACTGCACTTTTCACCACTGTCTTCTGCTTGAGGACCACCACAATGTTTGTCAGTCTGGGTCTCCAGTTCTCACAGTCTCAGCCCTTGATGGAGCCTTTGACTGCAAGACCTCAAATTCATGTTTTTCCTGTACACTTCCTGTATGCTATGAGTGCCAGCAACTTGCTCCCCTATAATGTCCTTAACTGATTATTTTCTTACTTTGATTTTGTGGCTGTTGCTAATTATTGGTGATGTAATGTCTGGTGGTGGCTGTGTACATACACACTTACAAGTGAAAGTATAATTCAAGTTTTCTCCAGAGAAAATTATATGTAACACTAAACATTTATACTTTTAGGTAGATATAAAATGCTGACTAACCTGTTTCAGAATAATTGCTTTATTAGTTTAATCATATTGTTGACTAATATGGGTCGAACTTCTAAGTTTGTAACTGTAAACCTGATTCCTCTTTAAATATAGGTAAGCTACTCTTGAAAAAAGAAAGAAAAAAGATTTATCTTCATATTTATTTATATTATTACGTTAGCCTATTTTTCCAGATTAAAGGTATATTTATTAATAATATTATAAATACTTTATGTAAAAGAACAAATCCCATGCAGTTTCTGGTAGCGTTGATAGAAGACATTCAGTATTTAACCATTTATAAAAGTGGCCATATTCATTTCTAACCAAAGGGGCCCCTACGTAATGTGAGTAATGTTTGCTGACATGCTTCTTAAGAAATACATTGTATGCTGACAGTSATATTCATTTTTAATTTTGGTTTTTGTGTTTGACATGTAGGGATCTTTGCATTCAAATCGAAGCTAAACACACAGGCCACTATAGTTTTCAAAATGGAGAGAAAAATAAAAAATAAATTTAAAGGAATAGTTCATGGGGGAAGTTCAGTGAAAAAAATTACGAGCAACTTATATTTTACCCGTTGTTGATAGCTGTTTGGTTGACCTCAGTTTGAACAGATAGTTGAAATCTGACCACATCAGAAAACATGACAGCTCCCATAAAACCAGGTCTGGTGGCTTCAGTTCTCAACCGTCAATGGGCTTCAGACTAGCCATTAGCCATCATCAATCTGATCAGAAAGAAACTATTTCTCTAAACTAAGAGTTGTTCAAAAAACTATCTACATCAGGTAAATATATTGTTGTTCATAAACTTTCCACAATTTCTTTTTAAGTGAGCTTTTATCAATTTAAACGAAACACTGAAACAAACTAGCCTGCAGTTACAGAACAAACCACCAGGTCGTCAGCTTCAGTTTCCAGTTCAAACCTTCTCCTTAAAAGTGTCAAGTGACATACTGAAGGGTGAACAAGGCTACCAGATCTATCAGAGTCTACTTTCCATTAAAAAATAATAATTTACAAATTAAAAAGAACATTTCATGTAAAGTAACAGCCTGTCACCCACCCTGAGTCCACGCACTTATCCTCTGCTTGTATTCTTTCTGACTTTGACAACAAATAAAAATAAAAAAAATGATGTAAAACAAATCGTGTCTTGGAGATACATTTAACAGAACTCAGTGCAAAGTCAATTTTAATGTGAACCATGCACAGCTGACCAGCGCTGCTCTGGCAACACAAGTTAAAAGAAAAGAAACAACTAAAACRATGTGACCAATCAAACGCCACAGGTCTGCAGTAGCGTCGGTTCGGAACGATTTTGGGCGCTGAAGACATGCCGGACCCTCGTCGTCTCCCGCAGTTCAGTTCCTCATTTTTAGAACGTGGMGCTTCTTTTTAGTCCTGTTTTCTTCTGAGCTGTTCGTCCACCCATCCGTCCGTCCACGGCAGCTCCCGATTTCAAGACAAGTCCCCCCGCTCCGTTCAGCAGCAGCGCAGCTYGCGGGTGGGCCGAGGCCACCCGCCCTCCCTTTCACCTTGGAGTGCACTAAAAGGCCACAGAGAGTGCATCTGAAGGTCAGGCGCTCCTCGGTTGCTTCCAGATGTCTGACATCTTGACCTTTAGCCCTGGCTCATGGACTGAAAGGTTATCTAACCTTCAGAAAGCGGTAAAGAGAGAGCGGGGGTTGGAGTGGGAAACAGAGAAACAGGGAACAAAGAAGTTGAGGCGCTTTAATTGCACGTTCAACTGTAGAAACTGACAGAAAACATATTGTGAGTGTCATGAATGCAGGAAAAAAAGTTCAAAAGACGTCAAGTGGCTCTCTGTTTCAAGTGGAATAAAAGAACTGAGACTCTGAAATGAGGTGAGAAAGGAGCATTTAGCACACTTTGAATAATTCAAAGAGATTAGAAAGTAATGAAATATTTTATTTTTAATTTCTTTCAGCCCTTGCCAGCTCTGTTTGACATCCTTTGTGTCTGGCGTAAGTCACTGCGACTCCAGCCAAACAATTTGGTTTTATTGTGAATCCTGTGCTGTCGGGTACAAAGCTTGCTGGTGGCAACTAGCCTTTAAAAAATAAGCTTTTATGATTTATTGGACGTGGCACAGAAAGGGTTTTTTTTTTATCTTCCACCAACAAATACAAAACTGTTTCTGAACTCTGTTTGTTTGCAAATTATCTCATGAAGTGCTGAAAGAATCGTAATGGAATTTTCAGAAAGTTGAATTGAAGTGCCAACGACTTTATGAAAGAATTGAGTGTCATTCTAAAAGTGTTTAAAACTAACAAAAACTAACAAACAAACAAAAAAAACCAGTAAAACCCAAATTTCCTCAATGAAAATTGGTGCTTACTGGTCTTTCTGAAAGACACCACATTTTTTTTTTCCCTGTTGTCTTAAATATTAGAAAATGTAATGCACCAACAGTACATCTGGGGGTGGGGGTGTGGGTGTCAGCGTCTTTATTCCCATCCTGTTCTTCGACTGCCATTTGGGGAGGGGGTCCTGAAGAAGGGCGGGCCGCCTGGTGCGGTCCTGGGCTTTGGGTGGGCTCGGGGCTTGGACAGTTGCCAGGGGCCGGGCTGGCTCTCCATTCTCCCTGGTGCTGCTTGGTCTCCTGAGGTGTGGCTCTTAGTTCCTGTGGGTGGTCCCCTGGCTGGGATGGCTGCCGGGTTCCGGGGGTGGACGGCTGGGGGGGTGCACTTGGTCGTTGGCGGTGTGGTGGGGTGGTCATGGGTGTGGCTTCTCTGTGGCGGGGGGCTGGCCAGGCATCCTGGTGAGGCCCGGGCGGGCCTTGGCTATCTGCTCCTCTCCACCTCAGAATGATTGGATCTACCTCCTGGGTTCGGGTGTGTGCTGCCTCCAATAGGGGGTGGGTGCATGTCCTGGACCTGGGGGGTATAGAGTGTGTATCGGGGGTGTGAGTGGAATGTGGTGTCCTTGTATGTCTTTGATTGAGTGGGGATGTGGGTGGGATGGTGCGATTGTGTATRTTTGGGTATTTGTCAGGCTGCGGTCTGGGCCGCCCCTCCTGCTGGTTTATCTGGGGGCCCGCTGCTACTCGTCCCCCCGGTGGGGTGTGCGGCTGGCCGCCGGCATGCTGGGGGTTCCCGGGGTCTGGGGCTGGGCGCTGGGGTGTGTGCCGGCCTGGCCTGGTGATTGCCTGCTGGGGCTTGGGGCCTCTGGCACTGTCGGGCTTTCGCCTGGAGGGGGTGCACCCTGGGGGCCCGGACCTCTGTGCCCTTTCCTGGATCTGCTCTGGTATGGTGGGTGCTGGTGGGGCCCATGAGTTTGTCGCTGCTGGCCCCGGGGGCTGTGCGTGTGGTCGCTGGGGGAACTCACCCAGTTCTCCTCTATGGTTTGATCTGGGGGGTGGGTGGGCGGATCTTCTCGTGCGGGTGCCCCTTCGGGCTCTGCGCTCAGGATCCCTCTTGGGCCCTTGGGCTCTGGTCTTCCCTATGTCTGCCTCGTGTCTTGGGGGTTGGGTCTCCGGTCCTCCACAGTCACTGTTAAATATTCCGTTGGAGAAATCTTGTATATACACACATGTTCACAACTGCTCACAAACAGGTGTTCTGATCCGGGGGGTTCTGACTGGTCACTGAGTGTGTATATATGTCTATGTGTATATACAGACAATATTTATGAATGTAGGCATGTATGTATGTATATCTTTATATATGTATGGGTATGTGTATTTTTTATATATGCCCTCCATGTATTTATCCAAATATTTTTCAGGTGAGTGGGCAGATGTTGGGTGTGTGGTCCTGTGTTTTGTTGGTGTATATTTAATAAACTTCTAATCGCTTTTTCAATCTTTCTGTCTTTCTAATTACTTCTCTCTGTGTTTTTCTCTCTGTCTCTATTTTTTCTTCACTTAAAAAAGTCACTGATGATGAAGAAATAAATAAACTAAATAAACTAATATTTGGTTTCTTTTTCTAATGAAGTGACAAAAAATAAGATAAATTATGCCAAAAAAAAAAAAAAGAATATGTAACCTTTAAGTGACGTGTATAAGGGTGAGGTGATCATGATGCTGACCTTCTGCAGCTCCTCTCTTAACCATGAAGGAAGGGGCTGTCCGAGGCGATGCAGCAGCTTTGACAGCTCCACGTTGTGTTCCCTGTAATACTTTGAGAGATATGCACGGGCCTGAAGAGCGGCATGGGGGTGGTGAGAGATGGAGGGGAAAAACAATGACAGAACAGACAGGTGGGGAGGGGAGTCAGGATAAAGAAAGGTTAATCAGTCAGCATACAAATGAACAAGTGAGGAATTTAGGGATAAAACACGTGCAAGGGACAAATGACAAAAAAGATGAGATTTTCTGACACGTTACACGTATCATCTGAGTTTCTTTTCTTTTCCTGAAAGATTGGATCCAGTGCTTTAGGAGTAGGGGTGGAGGGTTATAAGCTATTTTGAATGCGTTGTGATGCAGACGTAAATGATTCTGAATTAATTTTAAAAAATGTGCAAAAACCAAATATTATTTATATTTAATAATGTCCTGCAAGAGACTGAATTCTGAAGTGTGGAAGCAGCTTCTGCTCTGGAAGTCAATGTATGAAAGAATTGCAGCTTATGTGAATTTAAAGGGGACATTTCACACAAAAGCCACTTCTTTTAGCCATTTAATGCATTTTGTTGTGTGCTGGGAGTCTCTAGGAGTGCAGACAAGTTTAATTTAGCCTCCCGGTGCTGCGTAGATATCTAAATATTCTGTTTGTGTTACATTCCTCACCCATTTCTGCTTTCTCTATGGCGTTTTCTGAACTATTATGTCACAGTATTTGCAACCGAACTTCTAAATAAGGTCTGGACTTACCAACTAAAATTTTTGTCGTCCTCATTTTCCTCTGGCTCTGGGTCAGACTCTGGCTTCAACGTGTAAGGCTGGATCATGGACAAGTCTTTTGTTGTTGACATCTTTTAATTAATTTGCAAATAAAAAGCTTCTGCGCTGCTATGTTGTCGTATCTCTGCTATCAAACTACAATGGGAGCTGGAGGGGGGCGGGGTGTGAGACAGCATTTAAAGAGACAGCATCAAAACGATTGAAAAGGGGGCTTGTGGAGTTACAATAAGGAGGAATTCAGACAGAAACATTCCACTTTATATAGACCCCAACTGAAGGATTTAAATGTGAGAAATCATAATGAGTCTCCTTTAAAAGTAGAATAAAATGTTGATAAGAATGACACTATATGGAAGTTGTGTACACATTTTCAGCCAGAGAAGGATAAAAAGAAGTAGCTCTACCAAGTGATGCATGGACCCCTGTCCTCTGCATTTGACCCCATTTGTTTATTTTTTTCCCATACACTTCTTTGAATGAAAACCTTTTTTTTTTTCTGCTGCAGGATGGAGCAAAATCTTTGTTTCTTTTAGATTTGAGAGATTATATGCTCAGGATGATGTTTGACATGTGATTATGGACGCATCAATCACTGTTCAAAAGTTTTATAATCGCATTTCAGCCCTCTGAATCGTAACCAAATCAAAGGGTGAGGTATCAGAAGAATCCCGTTCCCATTTAAGAGTCAAAGCAAGAAAAAAAACAGAGGGGAAAAAAAAGAGAAAGAACCTCYACCCACCCCCCTTTTCTTGTCTCGCCACCCTGCTGTTCACTCCATCGCCTCAGTCCTTGGAAGCTCAAATAAATTTTAATTACAGGTGACACGGCGGCACAGCCAGAAGCTGCGTGTGAACACGTGTGGAGACAGGATATGTCTCTGAGTTTGCCTCCGTGTGAGAGCGAATGTGATTCATCATCAGCAGGATGGCTGTCTGCTCTGTGGAGTCAGAATGTAGGACAAACATTCATGGGTTTGGATTTTCTTCTTCTCCTCCATCAGTCCTTATCTGCATTTCTGTTTTTTTTTTTTTTCTCTTTGTATATGTGACTACAGAGTCCTCATAATTAGGCTGTAGGTTTATGGCTAGTCCTGATTTGGATGCAGTTTCCACCCCTGCACTGAGTCTTGTGGGGTATCTGCTGCAGCGATAGAGAGGACTGTGGGTGGTCACTGGCAGTCAAATCTCTTTGTGTTTGCAGCTTTTTCAGACATTTAATCCAAAGCCTATATGATTTGCCTTTGAGCATACACCTGTCTTAGTTTCAATACACATTTACCTCTGGCTCCATAGGAGGATACTTTCTTCCTTTGCTTTTTCCCAAACATTTCGTTCTTCCTCCCTCAAGAAGCTGGCACCAGAAGCCCTTCTGAGGGTCAAAGCTGTGAGATGAGGAAAGCAGAAAATAGAAAAAGAATTAAAAAAAAGGAGGGGAGCAAGAACAAGGATGCTACTCTGTGTGGAAAATTAATAAAACAGAAAAACATATTCATTTGTAAGTGTTTATTGGAAGTTTTAGGCAATGGATAATGATTTGTATAAAGCTGTGTAATGATCTGAATAATTCCAGTACAACACCTATTATAGTATAATGGTATTTTGAAGGACAAGGTCCGTACAAACAACCACACTTCCAAAAAATATGGTTATTTTGTAAAAACAGAATATTTTATTCACAATGGAACACAGCATTTGTATSTATTTTATAAAGCTAAAATATTGTGCCATTTTTTTTTGTGTAAAATGATTTTAAATTTGATGACCGATCTCAAAAAGTTCAGGACAGGGACAACAACAGACTGTAAAAGTAAGTGGTACAAATATGAAACAGCTGGAGGCACATTTTCCAACTAATAAAGTTCATTGGCATCAGGTCAGTATGAGGAACGGGTGTAAAAAGAACATTTTCAAAAGGCTTAATTTCTCAGAAACAAAGATGTGCAGAGGTTCACCTCACTGTGAAAAACTATTTTAATTAATTAAGCTTCATTTTTTTTTCGTACCCACACCCAACTTTAAAAGAAAATAGTGTTATTTTTGCTTTTAATTAAGCCTGAGTCCTCTGCTGATGAAGGATAGTAGCAAGATGTTGTGCACAAATGAAGCATTGTCTAAAATGGTACCACTAGTTAATTAATTATAACACTTTTACCAAATCACACTTTAAAAATGGGATGATAAGACAATCACTCATTTAAAAAGCTGGTAGGTAATGTTCCCTAGGTATTAAATAAATCATGAATATTACTTTTTTCTCTTAAAAAGTAATAATAAAAAAAAAGTTACGGCTTTAATACAACATATATTTTTAGAAGYGATTTGTCTTTAAATTGTGCACCTAAAAGGAGACCACTTACTTTGCCTTGCTCAGACAAAGCAGACCGTATTACTGCATATTCAATGCAACCTTTACAGCTAACAGTGTTTGTCTGACAGCTGGAAACTGAGCAGCATCTCTTTTCATTTCTCTTGCTGTCTTTCACTGCCTCTTCATGCAGGCAAATAATAGGGATGGTGGCTAAACTGTCACAGTCAACAGAACTATAAACAGCTGCCGTTTCCATGTTGTATAATGAGCCACACRGACTCATTTTGTTTCCAAATGTTATTCTCGTGCGTCCCCAATCTCAATTTGTTTGCCTCTCTGCCAGCTTTCCCTGTCGTCTGTCAATCAGCCAGTTACCTCAGTGTTCACAGGTACACCAATAAGGTTCATGCTCAAATGTGACCCTTTTTATTGAACTGAGGATTAAGTCATTTGTCAATTTAAACTAAGTACAGTTTCCGTTTTCTGACTTTTTAAGGTAYATTTTGATACATGGATCATTCTGATATAATGAGAGGCTCCAGAAATTTGTTTTGATTTGTCTTTCTTATCAAGAACAGCACTGGAGAATTGATCTGAATCCAATTTTTTACCTTTAAATAATAAAGAGTGAAAATTTAGAGCTTTTCACTTAGCACTAAAACACTTCATTATATAATAATGTTATTAAATCCGGCTTCAAAATGTAATAAAACTGCATTAATACCACATTATGTAATAGCTGATGCATAATGTAATAAAAGTTTTCGACGCATTTTGTAATACTTGCATCTGCTTTATGTAATGGCATAATTGCATTTTGAGGTGATTGTTACAAAATGCAGCGGTTGCTCTTTTTAGAAATTATAATGTAATAATGTAATATTGTAATAATGTAATAAACAATCACAAACCAGTGTTTTGTTCATTCTAATCAAACACTGCATCCTAATCAATACACTTGTAATAACGATCACTTGTTTCTGATCGTTTATTACATTATAGTTTCTAAAAAGAGCAACAACCACATTTTGTAACAAAAAAGTGATGTTATCACATAATGCAGCTGCGAGTATTACAAAATGAGTTGAAGACTTTTATTACATTTTGCATCAATTACATAATGCCGTTTTAGTGCAGTTTTATTACATTTTGAAGCTCAATTTTATTACATTATTACATAATGTGACGTTACAAGCACTGTTCCAACAAGTGCTTCAAAAACATTCTTTAGGATCATATTTTAGATRTTTTCTTCGAGGGGTCCATAGAAGAGGCATTTATTTATCATATTTTGACTACCGGTAAATCCATTTATTTGCAAATGTTTTATTAATGCAATAAAGCTGCTTATATTTTACTGCACTACCTTGCAACTTAATCCCGTGTTTGATGTGTTAAGTCACAAATGCCAGACAACTCGTTCACTTTGGTAAATGATACATTCAAGTATTTTCTTTAGTGTTATTTGATTGTTTTATGTAAAGCCACGGCCTGATTCTGAGGGTTTAACTACAAGTGAAGCTCTGTATACATTTACACATCTGCTTGTCATAAATAATACTTTTTCACCTGTTATCAACTTTCATTAATGATGATTTATTCACACTCTGTATGCTCCTGTGAGAAGGATGCTTGATAAATGAATTGACTCTTTTTTTTTCAGTAGCTAGGATGAGATTAGGAAATGTATTACACTAATCACGACACCTACTTCTGAGTAACAACAGCAACAGCTTTTTATAAGCTTTGCTCAGGTATTAGGCTATCCGTCACTGGGTGTTTATGTGCTAAAAATAAAGATACATATTTGACTGACTTAAATTTGCACAACCTATCAATTTAAGGTATGTTAAGCTGTCTATTTTAAAAATATTTAATGACTACAAAAATTACGTTTACCATTTCTTGTCACACAATTAGATTTATTTTGTTCAGAATTACTGCAAAGGGTTTGGTATTTTGTTAGCTTTAGCTCAGCTTGGCATGGCTTCTTCTGGACAACTTATTTGTTTTAGAACTGAACTTATTTAATACCAATGCTAGTTATTTACATTTTACATTTGTTTAGCCTTTTTTTTTAATTTAACAGTTTTAGCTTGGTTTTATTTTTACCTGCTTCAGATTTTTGCCCAATGTTCTAAAATAATTGTATTTCTTTGAATAAACATTTTAATGCTAACATTAAAATTATGCGATCAAATTTAAAGCAATTTTCCAATAAAAAAAAGACACACGACCAGTTCTCCCGTCTTTTCAGTGAGAAGAGCGTCGGAACAAATAAATGTCTCCGGGGTGCCGTGTCTGTAATAAAAATCACAATTCATGAAATGGATGTGAGAAAGAAAAATACACAAAGGTAAAGAAAACATCTTTTAATAAGTGTGAGTTTTGCATAATACTCCCTTTGCGGCTGTAAGAGCAATGCTTGTGAATTTAAAATCTTGATCCTAGCAGCAAAGAGCAAAGAGTCTTTTACTCTCTGAGCACATAATATGACAACCTGTCACAGGCAGTGAAGGCTGATGCATCTGTAAATAATTACTCATGTTGAAACTTTTATTAATATGTAGGTACATAGAAATAAAAGGTTTGGTCGAGAGCACTTGCTTTATTTGTGAGTACAAATGTGCAAGAATTTTGCTTTACATGGAAATCTGGTATAAGTTAAGATAAAAATTGCGACGTTGTGTAAAAAGAAACTCCTCCAGCTGTTTATTTGTACCAGTTAATTTTAGTG